TTTGTTAAAGTAATATTTTTTTGCTCCTAACGAAATATTTAATTTCTGATTCCAATTCATAGTTTGTAGCTCCTAACAAATAAATTTGGTTTCTGATTCCACCTTCATAAAGTAGAAAATCTGCCGCAACATAAACAAAGTAAAAGAAGCTTTTCTAAAACTGAAGTTCTTATAACGATGATGGTAAAGAGAAATCCAAAACGAAATTGTAGTAAGAGAGGAACCTGATATTTAAATGGTGCCATGACTCCACTTACCGAGGGATTTCAAGTAGACCATGTAATAAGATCTGCAAATAGTTTGAAACTCAAGAAGAAGAAAAAAATTAGTATCTCTTACATGTTCTTACCAAAAATTCAGGAAATAGCAAATAGTAGTTTGAAACTCTGTTACGGAAACCTTTTTTCAACAACAAATATTGTTGCTGGAATGAATGACGCATATCTCGGCGATTGGAGCATCAGGCATCTCCTGAAATTTCAAATTTATGGAAAAAAAAAGTTTGTGAGGTGCGAATATTTTAAGACTACAGACATACCTTGCCAATCAATTGTTGTAAGCTTTGGGGGGATTAACGATTCATGCCTAAGTTCAGTAATAATTTTTGGAAACATAAAAAAGGAAACATGAGTGACCAAATTTCTTTGAGATCAATAAAACTTCTGAATTTCGAGTGGCTGAGATATCGTACTTGTAATCAATGATTGAACAAGATCATGAGAGAAAGACAGTTTACCAGTTTATCGACATGATCTCGACTTTAAGACCAGAGCTCTTATAGTTTCAGATTCTTCCCAATCAGAAGCAAAAAAATTCATCATCTTGTCCCTGAAAAATTGAACGCTAGAGTAAAGTAAAATCAGTTTTCTGGGTATATAAGAAAAAATAAAACTTATCATTCTCGTCTTACTTTGATGGATTATTGCATGAAGTCGAAACAATTCTCACATATATAGGTAAATTTAAGGTTAATGGTGGTCATATCACCTTGTTTTTTTTGTTTGGTTTTAACGCATGCTACATATCCTTGGTGTGTTTTGTGTTTGGTGAACATCAGTTTCACTGAATCCAAATTGTTTTCGAATAGTAACTTGAACTCTCTAC